TCTCCCCCGGAATCCCAACCCTTCCCAGCACTCCCGACATGTGCCCATTAGTTAGCTCTGGCCTGTGCCCTGGCAGACTCCCCCCCAAGCCTCTCTGTGCCATCTGAATCAACCCCCCCTGCTCCCCCTTAAAATTTGATTTAAAAACCCCTGTAAGAAACCCCTAAGAAATCTCTTCTTTGCATGCCACCTCTCGGGATCCCAAGATCCATCATTAAGGAAGCGTCTTGATAGGCAAGACGCTTGCCTATCCCCCCCGGGAAAGGGGGAGTTCCCGAAGGGAATAAAGTTCTGTCACAGTATAACATAGAGGACAGTGTGGCATCAACCAAACGGGGTGACATCACAGGGAGATGGAACGAGGAGATGACACGTCCACGAGGGGGGGGCAGCCGACAGTGTTCAAGGGGGTAGCAGGAAGCTTATGTCCATCATACCAATGGTCGGTGTTAAGGACAATATGTAAGAGTAACGGACAGATGTCAAAATCACAGCAGATGATAAATTGCGAGGTGGTGAAGCGGCCAGTAATGGCGGCGGTGAGGAGGCCAGTGGCAGCAGCGGCTGCTCCAACTTCAACAATTCCAACAGCTCAGCTCTGTCCACGCCAGCCGCACTCATATTCATCACCAGGGGCCGCACTCCATTGACCCAGTCCATATTGTCACAAGAGGAGGGGCCAAATGGCCAAATGACACAGTACGGTGGCCCAGACAATGGCAGTGATACCAGAGGGGGCCACAACGAAGGAGCCCCCCCCCCACTCCAACCGCGCCCATGCCAACTACCAAAGCCATCTTCCGCTGGCATCAATATCCATGCCAGCTGCTTCAGCCACTCCCTGCTAATCCAATTTATCATGTCCATAAGCAAGGAGGAGGGGGGAGCATTCGGGATAACACCACGGTGTGGGGAGCTGCAGCTGCAGAGACCCCAAGCCGGGCATCCCGCTGCTGCTGCCACTGACCACACCCACGACGGCTGCAGAGACCCCAGGCCGGGCGTCCCGCCGNTTATTTTATTATTTTATTTTATTTTATTTTATTGCCCTCCCCGCCCATCTCACCTACAGGTGACCTATGGGGTCAGTTTCCTCTGGGGAGGCTTTTGAGGGAGCTCACCTGTGCTTTTCCTCATCCCAGGTGATCCCGCCGCCGCCGTGCGTCTCTCTAACCAGCTGCTGGCTCTGGAGGCAGACGTGACGCTGCGCAGCCGCTGGACCAACATGAATGCTCTCCATTACGCAGCTTACTTTGACGTCCCCGAACTCATCCGGATCCTCCTCAAGGCCTCCAAGCCGAAAGGTCTGTTTGCATGAAGGAGGTGGGACACGTCGCCAAAAGGAGCTGGCACATTTTCACGGAAGCTTGCTTCAATCGCCATTTTTAAGTCAGCCAATTAGTGGCTTAGGACAGTATATGGCAACCTTGGGAATTTGAAGAGGGGTAGACTTCAACTCCCAGAAATCCCCAACCTTCCTCAAGTACAATAGCACGCCGGCTGGGGAATTCTGGGAGTTGAAATCCTCATGGCTGAAAATTCACTAGCTTGCAGGCTGGGGAATTCTGATTCCTGGTTGCTAACCTGTGGGAAAGTGTTCCCGGTAACCAGCGGCTCCTCTCCTGGGATCCCTCCACTCTGTGGCAACCTTCCATGTCAGAGGGAAGGGACTCTCTGCTAATCTCTGCGGCCTTTGAGACTCAGTAGATACTCTCCAGTTTTCCTCCTGAAATGCAAAAAGAAATGGCAAAAGGGTTGGGAGATTTTGAAGTGTCGGTGTGGCACATACAGCAGAGAGGCTGAAATGTTGGTCAAATGTGGAGAGCCAGCCACGTTCTCTGGGAGTCATCGCGGAAACCAGAGCACACCAATTTGTGCTAGTGGCAACAGCACATTGGGAGATCCGTGGCACTGCTCTCCCTCTCGGCTTTCCTTCTAAGCCAGAGTTGCTCGACCAAGATGGATGGACTTCAACACCCAGAATTCCCCAGCCCAACAGGAGGCTGGAGGTTCCACTCCTCTTCAAACAGAATAGCAAGCTGGTTAGGGAATCCTGGGAGTTGAAGTCCTCACATCTTCAAGTTACCAAGCATGGCTGACTGGGGAATCCTGGGAGTTGAAGTCCACCTGTCTTAAAATTCTGTAGCCTGTTAACTGGGGGATTCTGGGAGTTGAAGTCCACACGATTTAAAGTCCCCTAGCATACTAGCAATGGTTGCTTGTATCTGCGGAAGAGCTCCAAGGCCGGGGACTATACAGAGCCGAATATTTTGCAAATGCAGCCTAAAATAATTCAGAATCCCGACTGAGTCTGTCTTGTTTTTTTTCCCCCCTGAAGTTCTCAACTCGACGTGCAATGATTTCAACCACGGAACAGCCTTACACATCGCTGCTTCGAATCTCTGTTTGGGGGCTGTGAAGTGTCTTCTGGAACATGGGGCGAACCCCGCTGTCAGGGTGAGTAAAAAAAGTGGCGGCACAGACTGAGAATAAGGGTTAGACCAGGGGTGTCCAAACTTGGGAACTTTAAGAGGTGTGGACTTCAACTCCCAGAATTTCCCAGCCGGCCGGCGGGGGAATTCTGGGAGTTGAAGTCCACACCTCTTAAAGTTCCCAAGTTTGGACACCCCTGGTCTAACCCTTATTCTCAGTCTGTGCCGCCACTTTTTTTACTCACCCTGACAGCGGGGTTCGCCCCATGTTCCAGAAGACACTTCACAGCCCCCAAACAGAGATTCGAAGCAGCGATGTG